TAGGGTTTAGGGTTTAGGGTTTAGGAACTAAATAAAATGGAGATTTTTTTTTTTGATGGTTCTGTACAATAGCAACACAGCTGTTGCTTCTTTCCTTTCTTCTTCCTTTCTCTTGTTACCCCAGCCGTTGTTTCTTCTTATTATTATAATAATTATTTTTATTATATTATACTTTATTTATTTATCCTTTTTTTTGTATTAAAGGAGCAAAAAAGACACAAAAAGGGCAGAAATAAGCAGAAATTACCTCTAAGGATCATTTTGCATCCTTTTTCTTTGCTTTTTCTTGTATTTCCTGTTATTTTGTTTATATTGTTTGTTATTTCCTTTTATTTATTTAATTTTTTATTTATGTTTGTGTATATTTAGATACAAAATGAATTACATACAACATATAAAAGTCTACAACATCGTGTTGCTCATTCCCTTCCTGTTGCATTTGAATTAGAAGATCCTGTGCAGATTCGTGCTGAGCAAAAAAAGAGAAGAGAGGCATTAGTTAAGGTATTTATTATTCTTTTTTACCCTTTTATTTACTTTTTTATTCCCTTTTATTTCCTTTTTTCTTTTTTCTTACAAAAAATGCAGAAAAAATGCACTAGGCAAGGTATTTCTTCCTTTTTTTTCCTTTTTATTTCCTCCTTTTTTTCTATATTTTCTGTCTTTTTCCTTTTCTTTTTTTTTTATTCTTTTTTTTATTCTTTTAATTAAGGGAAGCTCCCTTATATGTATATTTTATTTCTTTGCTTATTTGTATTATTATAATAAAGGAACATGAGGCACTAGAGGAGAAAGCGAAGAATTTACAAGAAAGAGAGAAAAAATTAAAAGAAGAAATAAGCGAACATATATCCTTATTAGCAGAGAATCTAAGACAAAGACAACAAGCAATAGAAATGCAACAAAAAGCATTAGAAATAAATACACAACAAGTCCTTAAACTTGTTAGTAATAGACGGTAAGACATCATTAATTCTCTTTTCTATTCTTAGGGTTTAGGGTTTAGGGTTTAGGGTTTAGGGTTTGCTTGCCATTATTACGTGCTTGTTAATAAATATACTATTAACCACCATATTTACCATTTAAATATATATGTGTGTTTATTTCTTTTATGATTATTTTCTCTTTTTTCCCTACTTTTTAATAAGATCAACCAACTGCTGCTGCTGCTGCTTTTTTTGCTGCTGCTGCTGCAAAAGGGACGCAATATTTATAGGGAAAGTACACTGTGAATATTCTTTAATATATATATTGTAAATTGTTAGTTTAATTATTTCTTTTGTTTAATATGTTTTACTATTTCTTGCTGCAGCAAGAAACACGCACGCAGAGAGGCTCTTATTGCATGCGAAAGGGAAGCAGTAGAAGCCAAGAAATCAGAGTACTGGCAAAGAGGTAAATAAAAAAATAAAAAAAAATAATAATTAATATTATTTAATTCTCTATAATTAATCGTTTATTCAAGTTGCTGTGTACAAAGAACTGCTTTCCTTGGAGGCAGCTGCATGCATGAAGTAGTTGTACACTGTTGCTGAGGGTTTAGGGTTTAGGGTTTCTTAGGTCGTCGTCAGTGTCCTTTTCTGTTTTCCTGTTCAGACTTCCAACGGATGCTTCTGGAGACGCCGGTGGTGTTCAACCCTCCACCAGCAATACCAGCAGCAGCACCACCAGCAGCAGCAAGAGCAGCAGCAGCGGCAGCAGCAAGGGTTGAAAGCAGTGCTGCTGCACCACCAAGGGTATCTACAGCAAGGGGCACTAGGCATATTGAGACGAGCCCTGTGGATACGAATTCCTTTGCTTACTTCTTAGCAAACAAGCAGTACACGGCGCCCCCTAGACAGAATACAAGTGAGCAATTTTTTGCGGTATATAGGCACCTTCTGCATGCACTCAGCAGCACCTTCCTTAGACAACCTGACTTACTTACAAATTTGCATCTAATTAACGTAGTGCGTACATGCGCCTTGTTAACAACAGAAAATGGTGAAGTTAATGATGCATGCAAATCACTCAGCAGCAATCAACAAGAAATGCCTGCATGCAAACACACTGTTCGCAATTGCTACTTCCAACGCGGCTACTGCTGCTGCTGCTGCTGCTGCCTGTTCTGCTGCTACTTGTGCTCCTGTTGGTTGCTGATGATGATGATTGTGTGGCTGATGCTTGTTCTGCGGCTGATGCTTCATGCTCGCATGCATGCACACGTCTTTATTAATCCTTGTTATTCAATGTTCCTGTGAATTAAGACATAAATATAGACAAGAAAACATATTCACTGCATGCATACGCAGACCGTTAAATGCTTGTCGCATGCACCAACACAACAATGCTGCAGTCTCTCATGTTGTTGCTGTTGTTGCTGCTGCTGCTGCTGTTTCTTCTGCTGCTGTTGCTTCTGCAGTGTCCTTAGAGGCCTTTCATGGAGCTGCCGTGGATGATCGCACTGCCATCCGCAGAACAAATTTAAGAAAAGGAAATCCCTCGAGGGTTTTCTTCTCCGAGTGGAGAGGTGGAAACAACGCAGCCTAAACCCTAAACCCTAAACCCTAAACCCTCAAGTTAAGGGTCAGTAAAAGGGTTTTAAAGGATTTAGGTAAACTAGAAGAGATTCTTTTTTTTATTGTCAAACAATTCAACAAACAGTTTGTTGCATTTGCCCAAGGTAGACTGCAGAGAATGTACGAAAATTAACTTCCTCCGTTTTATTAGTACAGAAAAGGAAATTTAAATCGAAATATACACAATAAATAGTCATTTTTAATTCCTTTATTGCCATTAAGACGCAGAGGGAAACAACACCAAGGAAGTCACACTACTTTCGCTAGTACAACACAAAGGAACTCACAGTATTTGCGCTAGTATTCAGCATCAAGGCCAAATTATTAAACACAAAGAGCAGATTATAAGAAAAAAGCTGATATTCTTTTATATATCAGGGTAAGCGTCACATCCACCAATCTTCTTTCCTTCTATGTGGTTTACTAACTGGCAAGGTAGTAAGCAGTGAATGATCTACACGCAGATGCGTGCTGGTACAAATGTATATATGTACACACATACGATTCTATATATACTATTTAGTATTATATTGAATATAGATATATTAGGGATCCGCATGCCCCTAGAAGAGGCAGCATTCCAGGCAAGCACTAGCAGACAAAGAGTAAGAACGGGCGCTACAGACCGCGCAATAGTCCCGCCTAATTAGGAGCAAATAAGTTATCCCAATTATGATTGTTTTAAGATTTTAGTTTTTCTATTCGTAACAAGAAATATTGTAAAGGAGTTTATGCCGTCATAATCCTTACGCAGATCTTCGTGTTGTTATAAGGGTTGCCACACGCCAGGGATTCACCAGTTGTGAGACTTGGTCGCTGGCGGTCTACACTACTGCAGGGTTAGGACGGAAACTTTCCTTTGTTAGAATGAATAGTGTACATTTTAGTGTAATTCATTTGGTATTCCATATTTGTAAATAGATGATTTGAGAGTTTAAAGGACACGTTTTATGTCTAAGGGTCACTTGGAGTGCAAGACAGGGGCTTTATATATCGTAGGTACACGGGGAATTTCGAACCCTTTCACGGCAGTAAACTAGGAAATATTCAAACGTTTCAGCTATGAGGGGCTTTACAATATAATCACATTTTTTATTCTTCTCATTCGCTATTTTTTCCTGCAAAAATGTTGCACACAGATGCAATATCCATAGCGTGCAAAAGGCCTTTGGGGCTTTGGACTTCCCCTGCGGAGGACGACAGGTGCGGCATAAAAGTCCCTGAACTTCCTCTAAAATTTGAATTTAAATAGATTCCTTTTGTTTTACTGCCTTTGAAGCGTCCATCACTATTGATTTTTTTACTTTTTTCTTCAAAATGCACAAGCTGTTCAAGGTCATCGCCGCCTCTGCCCTCTGCGGCATCGTGGCTGAGAGTGAGTGAGGTCTACGGGCACGTGATATACAATTCCTTTTTTACATTATTGAAATCTAATTCCGTATTTTTTAGATATATTTAGAATTTGCTTTTTCACCTGTTTAAGCCCTGTTCACGGGTATTAACACAGTACAAGAGCTGCGACTGTCATCGAACTCCGTCACACAAACCCGGATTAGCGTATTTGTGTATTATTATGCAATTCAAAACATTTAAAGTACTTCAGCCTCATATACAATACTGTACACAATTATCGACAATACTCGTTACCTGAATATAACAAGCCGTTATGGTGCAGTGTACACGACGAAGTCTCTCGATATCAATCATTTTCATCACCAGCTAGCCTTTAACATAAATATCAGCACAAGCAGGTGCGCTAAGTCGCTTCTTAACATGTATATTGTTTAAAGGCCGTCTCCCACGTTTAGGTTTTTCCACTTGTCTGCTGTTGCGTTGCAGCATCTGCCTATGAAGTTCATCCAGGAGAGGTCGCAGATGTGTGTACGTGTTGCTGCGAGTTTGTCTAAACGCTCAGCCGTAGCGACAAAGCTGTCCTAATATAATATGGACTTTAAAATATAAAATTGTCAAGAATGTGCATGAGAGAAGGGTAAATTTGTTGTGTATTTGACTGCTGCAGCAGCAGATCGCGCTGCCGTTGCCACGCTCCTACACCAGCCTGTAGGGCATGAAATTCCCTATGAGCTCTACCCTCCTCGTGAGATGGAAGAGGAAGAAGAGGTCCAGAAACAAGCAGAAGCAGAAGCTGCGCCAGAAGCAGCTGCAGTAGAAGCTGAAGAGGAGGCCTCAGAGCAGCCTCAGGCACAGAGGGAGGTAGCAGCAGCTCAAGTAGCAGAGCAAGTACAGCCAGAGGCGGAGGTCGCACCTGCTGATGCTGAGGCAGAGGCCGCTGGGGAGCAGTAGACCATGCAACAGCAGCAGCAGCATCAACGTCAGCACAACATTACCACGAGAAATGCCTAAAGCAACCATGGCAGGTACATTCTGTCAAACGAATGCCTTCGAAATTGTACATTTTAACATGGAAGACAACAGGTGTTTTTTTGTCTCGGCATCTGCATTAGGTGCTTATTTTGCCGCTGCAGTGCAGTAAGCAGCACGTTCGGTGGCGAACGCAGTGTTTGAGCAACAAAACAACCGCAGTAAACCTACTACTCTTTAGTCTTGGCAATCGTCCACTCAGCATCAATGGCGGCGAAGTCATTAAAACTGTCCTTCTTGCGTATCGGTTATCGTATGGTCTGGCTTTAATACCTAAACCCTGACAAACCATTAGCGTTTCCTTTGGTTTTTCTTTAGTGGCCTAACTCCACATCACGCAGGCACCATGGGCAGTTTTTGTCCTTTCGCTCTTTGGTCGAAACCCTAAACCCCAGACCGTCTCTAAACCTTAAACTCTATACCCTACATCCCACATCGTTAGCCCCTAGCTCTAAATCCTAAATCACAGACCGTATACACTAAAAGCCTGACCGTAAACCGTATATCCCGAACAATAAACAAAATGCAAAGCAACCACATTGGCAGAAAAGCAGCGCACATGGAAGCACGCAGCACAATTATGATACCAGTGAAAAAACTGTACTGATACCACTAATGATGACTACAAGTCGGCGGAAATTAACATAAAGTGCATCAAAACAGGCAAGTATTGCCCTCGCAACAAGCGACACCATCAAATGAAAAGCAGCAGCTGACGTTCTAGGCACATATTAAAGTATTATGTTCGGGTTTTTCCATCTGTTCTGTTCGCGGGGTTGTTAAGATCGAGGCAAAGAGTCTTGCCAGAAATAGTAGTTTCCATGTTAACCATAAATGCGATCTTAACGAAATCAGTGCATAAATGTGTATAATGCATTTCCATTATATACGTTTATTCACTGATCGCAGATGATAAAGGGAACAAGAATTCACATTCTTGGGTAGACGTCAAGGGACTCTTGCATTCCCTGATGAATATATATGTGTGTTATGGAGAATACGCGAAGAAACGCATGCATATTGTTTGGATCTGCGTGTATGACGTGTATGGTGTACTCTCGCAACATATATTATGAATAAAAATACGTAAGTTACACAAAGCGTCAACATAAATAACGAGGATCTCACCTCAAACTTATGCAGATAATGAATATTTGGACTTATTACCTAGAAAATACTTATGCTGCGTGGAATATATGCTTGTGATTTTTACTCTTACAGACTTGAGCTGAGAATTAGTTGGCTGCAGCCACGTGATCTCTCTTCCAGTGTCGTCGGATATGCTCAAATGTGGTTAAATGTCAAATGCGGGTTTTAATGATTGTTGTTTAGCCCTACACACAGCTAGCGTATAGGAACCTACGGAGGGACAGTGCGCTCGCTGCTGTTGGCAGCTAGGTCCCTTGCTCCCACTGCTCAAGAATTCTCAATCCCAGATAAACACCACATAATGTTTATCCATGAGGTTTCAATTACAAAACAATTACACAAATGACGCTGCTAGAACGTCTAGCGGTTATGCTTCACGCATTAGCATTGAGCGCTATCTGCGACCGACTCTGTCTCGGTGCAGAACCCGTCGGGCTAGGCATCAACAGAGCCCCAGCGAAACTTGTACAAAAGATCTAGCTGAAAGTAGTTGTGCTGATATTGCTGAAGTGTTTGTAATTCGTTTATTTCCACTGCGCACCAGAGGAATTCACAGAGAGCTCCGGTCGTTGGGCGCACTGTGTAGCGCTGTGGCTCCAAGGCTACTTTCCCATTTCCGTAGTCTAATTAGGTGCACACTAGCACCCAAGCCTAAACTCTCGCCTCAAATTTCATCGCAAGGGACAGTTCTGTTGGGACACAAGGCTATTGTAGTAAATCTGACCGTCTCAGCTGCCCACGGCGGGGCCCGGGGGGGCTCGCTGGGAGCACGCGTCGCGGTTGCGAGCACTACCCGGGCCCCTGGGGCGTGGCGGTAGGCGATCGGCAACTAATTGCTTTGATTTCATAAACAATGCCTCATTAAATATCCATATTTCTCTTCTTACTGCTTCGGAAGCCCAAACCCGGTACATTGTAGTGCCGGGCGCTACACACTGTGTACAGGCCCCAGCGCTGTAGGGAAGAGGCTGCACTTCTTTTGCTCTTTTCGAATAGATGGAGTTACAGTGAACTTACGATTTTTCTAACTTTAGCAGATCAGATCCTTGCGCCGCCCCTCCTCTATAAGAAATATGATATAGGCTGATGCGGAGACCTGGTGCCAGCGCTGTGTACACAATGACTGGCCGCCGTGCTTTACATTACATACAGATGTTTCCCAGTAGATACTTAGTTATAGCATTAAAACTGGCTTACGAAAAATCCCCTTGATTCTGTTGAGCCCGTGCCCACTTCTTAGCGGTTGCGTTGCTAGGAGGACCCGCTACTGTAGGGATTCATTATCATAGTCAACGCTCTCATTTGGTACATTGTTCAAAGGATAAATTTAACTGAACCCCCCTCAATTGGGACCACATGATCTTTTTCGTCCAGCACCCGAAATACTCAGCAAACCCTTACCTATACGCGCGTACATAGGATGGTGCGCGCTGGCAAGGTGGCAAAGGGCTTTACGCCTCGCGGGGCGGAAAAAGTTCAGGAAATAGACGCACAAACAGACCCAACGTCCACAGTAATCCCCAGGTTAAAAGAATGGTGGAGTGCATTTGTAATACAGCGCGCCTGGAGACGAAAAAGGGACGGCCGCATCCCCCTACGCTGGGACGGCAGTTGTGGGTTGGCATGCGAATACTCATTTCCTACAGATTGTGTATTCACATACCACCTGGTAGAAACAGCATCAGTATCTTTACAGATTGTGCAGGTCTGTACTGAGGATACAACATGATTTGATTAACGGAGGCGATTACCCGTCCAACCATTCCCCAACTACCGAAAGGCCTGCGAGAGAAAGAAGCACGTGGACTGGGCATGGTGTGCTGGTTGACTGGTTACTTCGCAGGGACGTCTTCAGGAAGTAGACTTGATGCTTATTCTAGCTGCGGTGAAAGCAATGTGAATTCCAGATCAGATGTTATCAACTATGCAAGAAAAAACAAAATTCTCCGCCTTCTGAAGGTAACTCAGCCAGTCAACAAAATACACGAGGGCTAGCAGCGTGAGCAAGCTCATTCCAATAAAGGCCCAATGCATTTCCTGACAAATTCTTTCGTTGTACACTCGACCGGGGGAAAAAGTGGAACTCTGACTGCTCTGGTGAACCGCTAGGAACACAACTGCCAACATCAACGGCCACTCACAAATCTACGGGTGGCCTCCATGTGTTCGTTTTGAGATACGCTCACAGAACTTGACTGTACGCCTTCTGGAGGCTCGGCCACACGATGCAAAGGGGTATCTCCTTAGTCTGCTTGAAGCCTTGAAGGCGAGCAGGGTTCAACAAGACGTTAGTGAGCGTTTTTCTGCAGGCAACAACGCCTCTGTTGACGAGAGTTCTGAACACTGCCAGATAGATGCAGTTCCACAGCTGTCACCCCAAGTTTCCTGCCATACTGTTGCTGAGGCGTTTAGCAGCCGCCTAGGCATCTTCTCAGAGAAAGACCTACATGTCTTGTTCGATTATTGCACAAGAACCAAGGGAACTGGAGCTGCGCTAGAATTGAAAAACCGTGAGCAGTATTGAACCCTAGGCACTGTCCTATCACTTAGTTGCACGGCACTGGTCAGGTCCCTTCAATACATAAGCAATCCTTCTGAAGTGCTTCTGGCGTCTGTATCAAGTTGATCACTACCCACAGCCACACGCCTTTATAGTCAAACCATCCAATGAGTCCTAAAAGTGCTAGAGAATGAAAAAGATGATATTCAGCCACCTCATCTTTGTGTTTTGTGGCCAGTCGCGGCTGCCAGTTCATCAAAGTCTTCACTGGCTTACGAGGTAAGCTTAGGAAGCCTACACCTCTTTGGGAAGAAGCCTGTAAGCATTGAATGCGCAATAGAATATACAAATGCTCTAAACATAAAAGGCTGTGTGTTCTGACTGTGACCATTGGATACTATTGTGAACACTTCGGGTGCAGGTATTAGAGGCCGCTAACAACATGTGCTCCAATGGGCTACCGTCATTGCACAACTTTTCCACTGCCACCTCTAAACCGATAGAGGAATGCTTCAGCCTAGGCTTTTCATGATACTTGCTGCAGTAGGTCTTACGCAGCTATACTGGAGCTTTCCCCGATACAAGTGCTTCTCTTTTGTCTGATGAAGCACACCTTTTTCCGATGAATCGCTGTGCACGTAATCAAGACACGCTAGATCATCTGAGCTGAAGGTTTCGTTGCTAGTCGTTTCGAATTTGGCGGTAAAACTGTTGGGGATAATGTCCCTAGCGACTTCTATGATAGCGAGGGAACGTTTCCTTCAGGCTAGTGACTTTGCCAGCGCCTGCAGGACAGGTTCCCTTGCTATGATACAAGTCGCTAGCTAAGGGGCCAGTCTCCAGCCATGCAAGTGGAGTTGGAGGAGCGCCCTGCGAAACAGTGAACCGTATGCTTGCGCCTGAACCTCTCCTGGGATATTCCAGATCATTTCAATTGTTAACGGCCAGCCCTTTATCGGCTAGCCGCAGCTACTTCCCTTCCTCGTTACCTTGAAGTGCTTTGACGTACTCTCTATGTGGGAACGCCGTATGCACTGAAGCGCATTCTGACACAGGGCAGCATTTCTTGTGTTCCTCCAGCCTTTTGTAAACACCCAGCGCAGCCTGACGTCCTGCAAAAGATATGTCGCTAGGCCGGAATATACATATTTGGGCGCAAATTGGTTCCTGGCGAACAAGTAAGTCCGCCGAAGCTTATGCCCTCATCCGTCGAAACTGAAGTATAAGATATTAGTACCTCCACAGGCAGGAAACCATAGGACTCAATACAGATTTGTTCCTCTTATGGCACCCCGCAGCGGTGTCTACCGGGCTGCTCAAGGCGGCCAGTGGCAGGACAAGATTTTTTCAACAACCATCTGGCCTCGGATGGGTGGGCGAGAACAATTCCATAGGTTTTCTAGAAGTCTAGAGCGTTCAGCATAACGGATATTTCCCAGCTGGACTGTACAGCTTGTAGTATGGTGCTAGTCTCGCATGCGGCTGTGTAGCTGCAATATACTCCGCAAAAGGGGTCGTAGGGCACCGTCCAATTGGTCTGAAATTTGACGACATACACGAATCAATCTCTGGGCCTTGACGCCTCATAAGCATTCCTACTAGGCGGAAGTGGAGGATCTACCACCCGGGGGTGGTGGCAGAGTCACTTGCAGATTCCAGGCATATAACAAAGGTTTTCCTTGGCTTGTCGCACTCGCCTCATATGTAAAAGGTGTTCACCTTTTATAAACAGGCCGCTGGGGCATCCCTAAAACATATCCATGACAGAAAGTGTTTCTCTGCTTTGGGCGTATGCACGGACCGTCAGCATGCTTCGAGATTCCACGGTTCTACGAAAGTGCCAAGAAATTAGCAAACACTTTGACATATTCAGCAAGACAATATAACAATCTACAACTTGGCATCCAGCCAGTGACGGGCTGGGTGAACTGGTCAAAGACGCTAACAGGGCCACTCCCGGGCGATTGTCGAGTTAACCCTGTTCATACCCACGCAGTGGCCCTGTTAGCGTCTCTGACAGTCTCACAAACAAACAGCTATTATAGCGGGTTCTACAGCATGGCGGGTTGCTAGCAAAATCCCTAGTTTTTGACAGGGGGGTTGGTAATATCTGCTAGAGAGAAAATGCTATGAACTAGCATTGTACTCTTACTGTGGAACGCGTCAACACCATGCACGTTTAGACGTAAGTGGGTCATTCGATGGTCATCGGCCACGGGGGAATCTATAATTCCCTCTTGGGCGGGAGTGTTTATACCCTACCGGGTTCTAAGACTGCACGCCGGCCCTCGAGCAGTCCCTGAGCTGTTAAGTGTATCGCCATCTTAGACTAACCTAAGAAAACCACGTGGCGGCAAAGCATTCGGATACGACGACAAACAAATAGAAAGCAACCAGCCACTAACAATATAGTAGTCATCTAGGCGCGTCTGCACAGTCGTGCAAATTGGAGAGACCGATATAGCACTTTTTTATGAGCCACCTGCATGGAGAGAATGAAGAACCTGCCCCCTGATCTGCTTGTGTGTGTTGTGCAGGCCAAAGACAATTATTGGGGTGGAACACAACAAAGGCCACTGCAACGCCAGGCATTCCCGCATGAGCGGGTCCCGCAGCATGTATATATTACTGTATTTGTTTGTATAATATAGTTTTGAGAAATGTGCATGGTACGCCTCGAGTAGCTTTGGCGTTGACACTATATTAAGTACTGCCATTGTCTATCTGCACTGTGTACGCCAGGAAGAAATGATCATGTGCTGGAATTTTATGCACAGTCATCGATCAGGTTCCGGCTTTTGGATCGAGCTGAATTGCAGCTTTCTTCGTGCCTCTATCCTGTTTGAGGCCAGTTCGCTTAAGCCTGATACTAGACTTCGAACGAACAGGGGTATTTGCTGTGATCCTCCATACAATACCCCGCGCGGGCTGCCAGCGTCAGGTGTAGGCCACATGTAGGTTGCTGTGCAAACGTATTCCGTCCCCCGCAGGCATATTGAACATTGAAAATATTATCCTCACTTCATCACTCTAACACTCGCTTCTATGGCAAATTACAATATTCCGTAATTTGTCACTATGGCCAAGGTCTAATACAGTTCAATCAGTTTGAGTGTGAACTGAAAAATGCTACGCATTTTTCAGTTCACACTCAAACTGATTGACTCTATTGCCATCCTAGGCAGGATTGTGAAGGCTAGCGCCCATTTAGGGCAATACTAGGGCACGTAGACAAGTAGACTTATGAATGCGAAAATAGATTAGGGAAGGCATTTTCTTCTACCAGAGGAACAAACCATCCGATACGTCTACAGGGTCTTTGCAAGACTGCGGAAACTCTAGGTAGGAGAACTGGAGGGTCATGTTTGCATCACACAGGTGATATTGCACAGCCAGCTGCTATGGAGGTACCCTTATAGCTCCACATTAGTGAGCATATGGCAATGTTAAAATCTGTTTACAGGAAATCTGGTGACAAAGCATTGCTGCCTTCCGGAGAGGGTTGGGCTAGTGTATTGTAGGTGGCTTAATGCGGGAAGTTTTCCATGTTGATTTGGTCTGGTTTTGGTGTAAAATTTATTATGCATCACGATATGGTATCCATAGAAGCAAGCCCCTACCATTATGACACCCCGTCGCGCTCTCTATGAAACATCACATACGAAAGATGCAGATATCAGTCGGTGCGGTGTGAAGGTGTCAGAGAAAAACAGTCGTAAGGAACCAACGGTAGCAATCCACTGTATTGGCACAAAGGTCGAGCACATGTGCCGCCCATCGCCTGGGTAGCTACGCGTATGATGCCCAAATGCTCCCATAACAAACATACCAAGACAAACGTAGCGCTTCAAGTAAAGCAGAGTAAACCAAACCCGTGTGTAGGGCGTGCACAACAAATATTTTTTTGTTCACATCCATGACGCTGGTAACGGTCACCTGACAGAAGGTGGTTAGACTTGCTTTTGTTTGAGAATCGTTTTTGTGATTGCCCCACGGGCGATCCCTGAAAACACACAAGTTTTGAACACGAGGTCAGGCCTCAGTAGATGCTGAAGTGTATGGGAAGGGGAGTGAGCCCGTCGACCGCGTATTATCCTTGCTGCGAATATTGAAGAAAACCGGCTTCTAAGAATCAGGTGGAGAATGCAACCGGTTTGCAAAGCATACGGATTTACAAATATGACTGTGTTGAAATATGGGAATTGCGCAGTCATCCTCCTCAGCTAGTAGGAGCATCCTACCCTATTGCATATCTCGAGGAGCAGGGACCTATCCGGTTGTATTCATCACAGTGAGGTTGATCGTCTGCGTTAGGGATATTTAATGAAGAAAATCGCAGGGCACCGTGTAGCTGGCCTTTGCTTGCCGGCAAACGTGCGTGACCGCGAAAAAACGAATGCAGCGGATTGAAGCTAGATGCTGGGGTCGTTCCTGGAGGCTTCCCTGCAGTTAGTCAAACAGTTGCCTGTACTGGTAAGGAGACTTGCTACGGTAGTTCAGCAAAGACCTTAGACCGCAGATCGTGTTGCAGGATGTCCTCCGTGTAGGTGAAACTCGCAGTCGGCGGAGAAAACGCTGTGGCATTCACCGCTAACGTATCGTGCCGCAACTGGCGACAGCGTATGGTTTTGTATGGTGTGGAACACGTAAATACGTTACCAGTGTCTGAACCAGCGAGAACAGCAGAAGCTGCATGTTAGTTATTGTGGTGGAGTGTTGACGCGCTGCCTTAGAACGGGGAAATTCGCCGTTTTAGGAGTTGCGCAGGCTGATGGCGACATTCCCTGCATTCTGGGTTATCCCCCCTGGAGTCGATCTTGCAGGCCCTTTGGGTGATAGCGCATGAGTCTCAAGCAGGGATTGAGCGTGCCGAAAACATTGATAATCTTCGGCGGTGCTGTCCTAGTTTTTCCACATATCCACTCGGTACATTCAAAGCACGAAGAGGCCAGCGAGTCCCTACCTTACATTGCCGTGTGCAAAGGAAGTTTCTAGTATCCGAAACCAGAGAGTAGATATAGGTG